AAACACTAAATGTTCCTCATGTTCCAAAGTATCGACATCTACAAATTGTACAGCGACAGACAATTTATCTACATGGCTAACATCCGGTGTAGTGTCAGCCATAACTCAGCAATACTCTGATTTCTTAACTTTATTTCTTTATTTTTTCTCGGATCTCTACACCCAATCGTGTAATTACTTCATTTTGTCTTCGCGGGCTCATGTACGTCGTATGGTAACTTCTCGAACTACGATTTGCCAGCCATGCTCTCATTGTAGGATTATGGCGAGAGATCAATTGTACAGTTTCACAAAAAGTTTTTCACAAAAACAGGCCTTTTGAGATGTAAATCAAAGTTTGAGTCAGGGGAAATGGATAGTGCCCAGTAATATTGGTCTTCAGTGATATATAAAGATTTTAAAATATCTGTCTCAGTTAATGAGGCATCATAATCTGTCTTAGATGGGTTAAGAATCTCATCAATTTTTTGCTTGACTGAGTTCAGGATTTGATGCGCCTTTCAAGTATGTTGGTTTTGACTCCTTCATCTAACTCGTCACTAAGTGGTTCTGCCACAATTGTTCTTTTTGTAAAAAATTGTCAAAAATAGTATCAAGGCCCCTATAATTAGTTTGCAAAGATCAAAAAGAACAATCAAACAATCAAAGAGATTAATTGAGGAAATATAGCTGTTAGTGTACTTCATTCTTTATAACAAGAAACATAACAATATAAATGTTTTCCAAACAAATGAAAAAAAAGTCCTTTATAGCCACTATATAAATCTCATATAGGTTCTTTATCAGTTGCAAATATAATAAAAGAGGAAAAAAGGGGTATTGCAAGCAAATTCCATATAAGTTGCCAATTATGTCACACAATAAATGTTGTTAATACGTCCCAAAGACACAAATCTGGAACCCATGGTCCTGCTGCCTATGATAATAACTCTTGTGTAGTTTTCGGCACATTACATGTTGGCATTGGAGACACACGCCTGAATACCATCTTGACAACAATGATCATACCTCCCATTACTCATGGCACCTTTAAAGAAAGAGAGAGGTTGGATTAGCAGACGAGAAAGTGGCAAAAAAGAGCGGTGGTGAAGTTTTGATGAAAGAAAATAAATATGAGATAAAAAATGGCGCTGTATCAGACAAGAATAACTTACTAGGCATAGCATGCTGCTACAATATGGGATGGCAGAGAATTCAGCTCACTAACTGGCCATGGGGCTGTGATGGGTTTGCATACTGGCAAGGTGATGGTTTTTTCTTCACGAAACAAGCGATGTTGCTACTGTGATAGCCCTAGAGGGAAAAATAATGCAACTTGTTCAAAACATGATTCACAGAAGAACCACACTGGTTCCTTGAAAATTATGGAGACAGATGTTCGCAAACCAACTTTTCAAAGAAGCCCCAAAAAGCAAGTTTTCAAGTTACGTTGGAGACAATGATAGCACAACACTGGCAGAGTTAGTGAAACAAGCTCCATATGAATTGCATAAATATTCTGACATCATCTGAGTCAATGAATGAAATTTCTCAATTGCTCTACACTGTCACAAAAAGTAATCAACTAATCTTGTCAAGTGTTTTGCATATAGTGTTCATCAAACCAAAGATGATCAGCCTGAACTGTCTAAATCTCTTAAGTCAACCATCCTACATGCCTTTGGTGACCATAGCAAATGCAACCCTACCTGGTGCAGATTTCATTCAAATCCCACAACCTATCTACACAACGAGTTACCTTATGGAAAGGATCTCCATGGTGATGCACTTAAAACTGCTCTGAATGACATTTTTGCTGAATACACAACAGATCTTGTGTGGGAAAAGCTAGCACCTTGCTTGAATTCCCAGCAAAATAAATCCAGTACTGAATGGAACCATGAGGTCAAAGAATATAAAGATCTGCTACTTTGGAGACAGTGAGAGCAGTGAATTTCAAATTGCCTGTGGTGTTGCCAAACGTAATGAAGGACACCAAAATGTTGGCTTCTCACGGGATTAATCCTGGGCAACAGTGCAATGACTATCACAAAATGCTGGATGAAAAACAGATAAAGGATAACACAAGAAAATCATTGACTGAATTTAAACATAGAAGATGTGCACTTTATACTAAACAAGATCACAAGCAAACAAGGAAAAGTTTGAACGAAGCGCCCAGCTCAAGAAGAATATAAACTATTATATAAACTATTTTGAATTAAATTAACCTGGCTGAATGCAAAGCTATTTTAAAAGACTGTGAAGTAATATCAACAAAATCCAATCTTGTGACCAGACATTCAGTCGCTAGCTTTCAATTCTACAACTGCATGCTACAACTGTTTGATATGGAAACAACAACTATTGGCAAATCAGCTGAAATAATTGAACTCTCTATAGTTAGGAAAGATGAACAATATTCCTATACTCAGTATATCACTCCCCAAAGTGCAATAAGTCCTGTAGCATCAGAAGTTCATGCACTAACTAGTGAGGTTTTAAGTGCTGTGTAAGGATGGCAGGCAGGTTGTAACAGTTATGCTTGGCCACAACTTCTCCATGTTTGATACACCTGTCATCCTTCGTTTGGCAGGATTGTCATTTGGTCAGAAGCTGACATTATTAGATGTTTTACTTGCGGACAGTTTCCTGATTTTTAAGTCAATTCGAAAGTCAGATCTACCTGCAAAGAAGATTCTTTCACAGTGCAAAGGAAACAAGCTAACTACCTTGTATTCCCACCTGTTCAATAAAGGTTTTGATGTTCATGACGCTACAGAAGATGTCAGAGCTTTGATCAAAATTTTGTTTCAATTTTTGCCTGAAATAACATCAAAACAAATATTCCGCTTTGGTCAAACTGTGACTGCCAAACAGGCCCAGGAAGATATGAGATTTCTCTAGCAAAGGCATTTCAGAACCAAAACATACGGAAAATGTGTTACCTAGATGGACGAAGTGTTATCTCAGATGCAATAAAGCAAAAGCATGCCATTAAAGAAGTCTTGAACCAGAATTTTAAACAAATTTACTGCCAATTTGGAAAGCATGTAGCATTCACCATTATCGCTAATCACCAATTACATCAAACTAACATTGAGAAGGATCTTGGAGTATGTGTTTCATCAAACCTTACGGGGAATGCACAAGTTCATCAACAGGCATCTAAAGCTAACAAGTTGCTAGGCTATATTAGAAGAAACACAGTGTTTATCTCGAGTTCAGCACCAAGATGGACATTATATCTTGCAATAGTTCGTTCTCACTACGGCTACTGTTCGCAGATTTCGGCACCACAAACCATTTAACTCATTAAGACTTGTTAGAAAGAACCCAGAGATGTGCAACCAAATATATCCTCAACCTTCCATTTTCGACAGATGAAATGTACAACACAAGATTGCAAACCCTACACCTTCCTATAACCTACTGGCATGAATACCTTGACCTAACCTTTTTCTTCAAAATTACTCATGCCATGATCAAAACTACTGTTTTCCCTGTCATCCAAAATTCATATAGAAAAAATAAGATCCTCATCAAGTAACAATACCAAATATGATGTTCCTAGATGTAAGACCACAACCTATTAACAGTCATTTCTTATCAGATCATCCTGCACATGGAACGGATTCGTGGATGAGTTGGATTTTCATACGGACAGTTACAGTTCACGAAAAGTGAATTATGACTCTGAAAATCATCGAACATTCAAAACGATAAGTTTAAAATGTAACTTAGTGCAGTCTTGCATGTCAAATATCCTGCTGTTGTTAGATAATACAAGAATGAGAGTTGATAAGGTCTATTAACCTTTACTACATATTAGATGTGAATTTCTATTTCACTCAGTGTTTACGATATGGCTGATTGAGGTAACCAGTTTTCATATTCTTACTCGATCTTATCCACACTTGGTCTGGTGTTATATTAACTTTGTTTCTTTGCTATATATTTATTATGCCTGCGCTTTGTTGTTGTGTTAAGTAATTATTTGGTCAGCGGTAATTGGCAACTAGCTGTTGCGGCTCCCATGTCAATTTATTGTTGTTACATTGGCAAAGTTATCAAATTAAATTATTACATCAGTCACCAGGATTCAGGCTCCAATATTACACGACTTTCATACCAAATTCAAAGTTAATTCCAATGGATATAAAAATACGACAGACCATTCCGACAAACGTTTACCTAACTGTCACAGCCATATTGGATTTTTATTAATTATTATCCTTTACGCGTGGTGTTAGCCTATAATCAACCCTTTACTGGTACGCTCCTGAATGTTAGCAGTCTTCATTTTAATCCAAATTTAAAAAGATAGGAATGTGTTTTTTGTTTAGAACATTTTGAGGTTTAAATTATGACTGATGAAAGTACATCGATATCAGAGCAAGGTGCATATTTTTAACTTTTTGTCGGCGATTTGATCCCTGTATTTGGTCTTGGCTTGAGCCGTTATATATATTTATATATCTCATAAATAAAATTCTAAATGGACATCTGATCTCGAATCTATTATAACTAATGATACTATACTGTATGATTACTTTAATTGCTAAAGAAACGTTACTTCTTGATATATAACGCATTGTTAAGACCAAAAAACGGTAAAAAATTCTTAATCAATGGATAAAACAATAGATAATTTATCTTATTACTCAAAATATGTTTTAGACCAGATAAAGGCTAAAATGGAAGTAACAACACCTCCAAGTCCACCTGAATGTGTACAGGACAGTACACTCACAGAAAAGGTTTTGTTGAAACCATATCCTGCATGATCTTTGTTCGATTTACCAATGCTCTAAACGTCTCAGTATAAACCGTATATAGAATCCATTCATTCCTTGATGTAGGTTGAGAGGTATTGGGACTTGTGCAAGGGACATCAGCTACATCACATTGTATCACACATCAACGGAACGCTGTTAATGTATTACGACATCAACCTGCTTGACCAAGCGCCTTTCGACTATGAAAAAACATTGCTTGAACAATACGCAACCAAACATAGAGAAACGTATAACGAAGGATGGCTAAATGATAAGGTAATCACTGGAGTAATTGATATAGTGTTCCAAGAACCCACATAGCTACAGTAACTTACATAATAAACATGTATTTTTCTATTGAAATTTAGATAATAAACAATTTTCTAATCGACGTACAAAGAAAATCTCAGGTAGGGGAAAATAAACTACTGTCTGTACTGAAACTAGAATAACAACTGCAGATAGTGTTCTTAACAGTTTATTATATGAACAAGGGTAGTTTACTGGGAACTAAAACACTGGTGGAACGCTCCTACGCCACTACATCCGGGACCAGGTGTGCGTATTTTTCGTATGTCACACTGAGGATTGAGGAATAACATTCAAAATATTTTTTGCTTAAATCCATATAATAAAAAGAACATTATACGGTTCGCTTGAAGATATGGCACTCGTGTCAAAAATGAGATTGTTTTTGCTACTCGAACATAAAATACCTGCTATATCCTCTATATTTAAATAAGATCACTTGGTATTCCTTATTTTGTGATATATATTAAAGCCTGGTTCACATTTGACTGTGGCATGCCTGCGAAGTATGTCTGCAGTGCTCTTAAGGCAAATGAGAATACTCGGCGCTGGTTTATCGCCGTCGCACAAGAGTTGCCTGCGGTATACCGGGAGAGTTGACTCGAGTTCAACTTTCCCGGCGGGTCGGCGGCAAAGCGGCGGTGTACATAGCAGATTTTTATTACTTTTATATATGTGAACACGCTTCCGACACACCGCTGGTGTGCCTGTAGACGTCTTTCCCACAATACACTTGTGTCTTATCTAAAAACATGGCGGACGAAAGTGGTACAAGTGGTATTGGTCCTATTAGACTTAACAATCAAAATGCAACAGAGAATTCTGCGGAACAAAATAAAAAGCTTATAGATACAATACGTAACTATCAGGCCGTATATGATAAGTCGTATCCGGAATACAAAAATCAAATGGTAAAATCCAATGCATGGCAAGCTGTGTCAAGATCGTTGGGAATGGATGTCACAGTTGTTCAGAAACAATATAATACAATATGATAATACAATACAATACAATACAATACAATACAATACAATACAATACAATACAATACAATACAATACAATACAATTTTTATTACTCAAAAAAAACAAAACATACATTTAAAGCTAGTATACACACATTTTTAATAATTTTTTTTATGAGTACTGGCTGCCAAAATAACCAAAGGGCTAGAAAAGCTGGCAGTCAGTTGATTTTACTTGGTCATCTTATTTAAATAACTAGCACCAAATACAAGGACGAATTATAACAAAAAGAAACAAAGCCAAAATAAACATACAAAAAAAAATTTATGAAAGTTGCAAAACATTGTTATGTAAGAAAAATTAATATTTCTCAAGGAAGCTTTCTTTAACTCTCAGTTTAGATTTTTTTAAAGAATGAGATTTAAGATCGTCCGCAATGAAATTCCAAATTTTAGCCCCTTGAAATCTGATATTAAAAATTCCATAATTAGTTCTAGCTTTAGGGAGCAAAAATGACTGCTTAGTAGATAATCTAGTACCATAGTTATGTTGGCTACTTACAGAAGAGAAAAAATCATTAAAAATAGGCGGTAACATCTGATTATGAAACTTATACATGAATAAGGCAATTTGAAAGGATACCAAATCACATAGTTTCAGAAAATTTAAATATTTAAAAATCGGACTGGTATGTTCACGAAAACTAGAATTAGTTAGAATACGTACAGCTTTCTTTTGTAAAACAAACAATGGCTGAAGAGTAGTCTGGTATGTGCTTCCCCATACCAGAATTCCATATGTCAGAAAAGGATAAACAAGAGCATAATAAAGTGTTTTAAGAGTTGATAGACTAACATAATGACGAAGTTTTGAAATAATTCCAATATTTCTTTTTACTTTTTTGGCAGTATAACTAATGTGACTTTTCCAACTCAAATTTGAATCTATCATTATTTCTAAATATTTAATTGACTGATCTTGTGTTAAATGTTCATTATTGATAAGTATATGTAAATTGTTATTTATTGCCCGTTGTCTGGTATGAAATATCACAAAGCTAGATTTTTTTACATTAAGAGGGAGCTTATTGCTACCAAGCCAAACAAAAACCTCATTAAGTTCACTATTAAGATTTGCTTGGAAATCTGCATTATTATCCCTGTAGAATAAATTTGCATCATCTGCAAAAAGATAAAAATCTAACCTCTTGGAACATGAACTAAAATCGTTTATATAAATAAGAAATAACAACGGGCCAAGAACTGAACCCTGAGGGACACCGCATGAAATATACAATTCATCAGAAGGAATATTATCTACACAAACAAATTGTTTCCTATTTGATAAATAAGAAATAAACCGCTCATAAGGGAGTCCTCGGATACGGTAAACTTCAAGTTTTTTGAGTAAAATAGTATGGTCAACTGTATCAAAAGCTTTAGATAGATCTATGAATATACCACAGGCAAAATCTCGATTTTCTATTGCTGCCTGGATTTTATCAACAATACAGGTGAGGGCATAGCTAGTAGAATATGAAGCACGAAATCCAAATTGTTTAGCATATAAAATCTGCTTTTCGGTAATATAACTATACAGTCTTTTATACATTAGCTTCTCTAAGATTTTATTAAAGACCGACAGAAGAGAAATTGGCCGATAATTTGTTAATTGTGTAGATAAACCTTTTTTAAAAACTGGTATTACTTTGGCTATTTTCAATTTTTTAGGAACAATACCTGTAGAAAAAGAGGCATTAATTATGATCTCCAGTGGCCCAGATAATAAATTTTTGGCCAATTTCAAAATAGAAGTAGGAATACTAAATGGTCCTGAGGATTTAGAATTGTTTAGATTAGAAATTTCATTTTCAATCTCTCCAGCAGTAGTTGGTGAAAGGAAAAAACTGCCACTAGAAGGTGAACTCATATATTCCATAGGGGATTTATGCACATTTGGAATTTTACTTGCTAAATTAGAGCCAATTGTTGAAAAAAAACTTGTTAAAAGCGTTTGCAATGGATCTAGGTTCATTCAGTTCTAAACCGTCATCATTTATAATTGTAGGAGCATGATGATTTTGAGATTTAGTTCTAACCAGATCTTTGATACCTTTCCATGTATCACGAATATTGCCAGATTTAGAAGAGAAGTAATTGTTATAATAATTTCTTTTGCTTAACTTTAGCGGATGATTCAATTTATTTCTATAAGTTTTAAATTTTATATGATAATGTATAGATTTTGTCTTAAGATATTTTTTATAGATTCTATTCTTTTTTTGAATAGATGTTCTAATTGCTGATGTTATCCAAGGTTTTGTCCTAACATTAAGTTCTTTTTTACTTAGTTGTTTATGGGTACATGAGTATCAATAATTTGTGAAATTGTATCGTGAAAAGAATCAAACATTTCATCAGGACAAAATTCTGGCTGCAATATTTCATTCCAATTTAAGATTTGAAGGTCATTTAATAAAGTTGTTTCATCAACATTGGAATAATCTCTCTTGTAAAATTTTTTATTTGAGGATACAGAAGAGTATTTTTCAATAATAAGGAAATTGGGAAGATGATCAGATAAATCATAAACCAAATTACCACTAATACTATAATGATCCAATGAATTTAGAAATATATTATCGATAAGTGTGGCTGAATGTTCTGTAATTCTAGTTGGTTGTAAAATTTGTTGTTGAAATAAGAACGAACCAAGTGAATCTAGAAAATTTTGCATTTCCTGATGAGCTTCAAATTTAAGAAGATCTAAATTGAAATCACCTAAAAAAACACAATATTTGTTTTCGTGATGAATCCTTTCAACTACCTCATTCATGTAATTCATAAAGTGTTCAATATTAGAACTAGGATGACGTTTGATGACGCCACATAACATATTTCGCTCATTATTATTAACTATTGCTACCCATAGTGATTAAAAATCTGCAGTAATTGATGAGAGATCAGATCTCATTTTAAATTTTAAATTATCTCCTAAAAAGAAACCTACTCCACCAGCATTAGATAGATTAGGTTGTGATATAAAGTTATATCCAGGTAAATTAATATTTGTAATAAATTCTTTATCAATATTAATTTTGGTTTCAGACATACCTATCATAGAAAAAGGAAAATGTAACTCAGATACTAAGTTAGCTAATGAATCAAAATTAGCTGACAAACTTCGAATATTACAATTAAGAATAGAGAAACTACTATGCACACATTCCTTAATATAATTACTAGCATGAAAATCATGAGTACTATAATAATTAAAGTCACATTCAGATGGTAATTGTAAATCAACATCAGCGAGGTGTTTCATATTACTAACAGGAGTTTCAAGTTCTAGGCGAGGCAGTAATATGTATTCTTTAACTCTATCTCTATTTGTTGTGAATAGAGCAGGATATTCTGGAAAATAGCAACATGTCATCACACAACATAATTCAATTTAAATATGTCACTTATCTTATTCAAGAAGCAATAAGGATTTGTGATCTCACTGAAGCCCTTGCAAGTCCTTTGAATCTTTAATATGAACACGAGGCTTGTCTCCATCTTTTCTTAGATATATATTACCCGACTGAGTCCAAATAAATTTGTAACCATGATCTTTCTTAAATTTCAGACAGTCGCTGAACAATTGTTTATTTCTCGGACTGAGGCTCTCATTAATGAAGATCTTATTTGATACATGATATCCAAAATCAGCAGCCGTGACATTTTTCAGGTACCTAGCATGGTAAAATTTTTCCTTCATATCACGTCTTACAAATTTAACAATAATATTCTGGTTGCTCTCAGATTTTCCACTTGTAACCCTTTTGGGCAAACGATGGCTAACTGATATATCAGAAGGTGCTATAACAACACCGATAGTTTCTGCCACTTTAATAACCAAATTATTTGTATTTTCCTGATCATCATTAACAGGAAGTCCACAAATTTCTACGCAATCTCTGCAAAGATATTGCTCTAGGTCATCAACAGTTGCTTTCAACATTTTAACTTCATTTTTTGATTCTAAGAGTTCAGCTCAAAGACTATTATTCTCAGCGAGTGGTTTTTTCTTTTCTTCCTCGTTAACTTTCAGAAGTTTTATGATTTCATCATATTTATTACTTGTAAACTGAGTGGCTTTCGTTAATTCTTCCAGTTGTTTAGTGAAAGGTTGCAAGCTTTTCGCGAGCTTTTCTTCAAACATAGACTCGATTTTATCGTATGTTATAGGCATATTTCATAAACTGAACATACAACATTTATTACAACACAAAATAACACGTATCAGAAGAGGAAATTGGACGTTTACTTGACTTTTGTTAATAAATTTTAGTGGACTCGAAAGGATTTGAAAGGAAAATCAGGTTGTGGGAGAGGTGACGTACAAATTCGACCAGATCTCGAGTACTTGCGGTGGTTGATATCTCATATTAAGCATCGTCAGACCTCCTCAAATATTCCACCGTCCCAACCAGAATTACTCTCCTCTGTAGCAGCAGTGGACATGACTGGTTTTGATTGTGACAAGAGTATATTAGACACTGATGATGATATATTAAGTGGCGAATTATTATCAGCTTCTGATAGTAGAGAAAATTCTATTGGAAGTCCTAATGGAAGTGTTGTGTCTGTAGCAAGTAGTACTTACAGCCAAAAAGGTCAAGATATTCAAAACCTAAACAAAAGAAAATTAGGAAAATCTAATGAAATACCAGACAAGAGACCATGGGCAAAAAGCAGGCGGTTTGAAAATGAAGTTGTGAAGACTATGCAAGGCATAAGTGCTTCACTGGTTCATCTTACCACACCAGAAAATGAGCAGAGAGGTAAAGCTAAAGGTAATGCAAATGAAGACGAGGACTCTTTGTTTGCCAAAGTTTAGTTCCAAAATTTAAACGAGTTCCAACATCATTAAAGTCTACTCTCCAGTTGAACATTTTGAAAACTATTAATGATATGGAATTATATGTCCAACAGCACATACAAAAGGAAAACACGGCATGTCAAATACCTTCGCAACAAAGTAGTAATGTTGGATTTCAAAACCAGTGGTTTCAATATCATAATACTGATCAACAACACATTGATTCATAGATCATTGATTCATAAGTAATATAATATGAATTATGAACCAATATTGATATTGTTAACAAAGTCTGAATTTAAGTGAACAAATAATTGAGTTGATAAAAGGATATGCAAAAGAAAGTAATGCTGTAGTTCTGTCTGTAGTTTTTACTGTTATTCTGTTAAGTTAATAAAACAATTTTGGACCATGGTAATATATGTTGATGCACTATGTTTTAAGGTTTCAGCTTGTTTTTAAAACTTTGATGTTTTTTGTACTTGCATTAATTGGATGTATTCCCAGACAGGACCTTTTTGGAGGAGGACAAGGTTGATTAATTCAAGGGGGGGGGGGGCACAGCAGAGAACTGCAGGCTGAACATTTGCTCTCCAGCTTATTTACAAATAAGGCCAATTTGCAGAAACATTAATTGAATATTCAGTGGTCAAGTACCTGTGAAACTGTTTATAAATGCTGGTGTATATGAATTCTGTAATTCAGCTATTCTGAACTACCTTATAAAGGTTATATGGCAGTTATTATGATCCATAAAAGAACACTGTATTCATCTACATATAAAATTTTATCATACAACAACTTTATCATACTAAGAATCAAGAGTCTAAATTAGAAACACAATCTATATAGGTATACCAATCATGTTAATTGTGAGTTTTGCCACAATATCTAACATAATTGAGTTGCCATGGAAGTGAGCCTTCCTTGCCATTGAAGTATTCGCAAAAGTTATCTCTAACTGACTTTGCTGTGAATGAATAAGTATTACTACCAACTCTTCTCAGTGTCTGAAGGGAGTTGTCATCAGAATGAACAATCTTTCGCCATTCACCAGTAACAAGATTTCCAGATCGATCTTCGCAATCCACAAAACCCTGTGGTATATAGTGAGCATTGTGAGTTCAAGCCAGATAATTTAAATTATGCAAACAAACTGTTGCCTGAACAATGTGGTCAACAGTTGTAACATCACCCCGAATCGGTCGCCTGAAAATCCTCCACCTAGCTGCTAAGATTCCAAATGTGTTTTCTATTGTACGTCTACACCTTGATAGCCTGTATTTGTAAACAGCCTGATTCTCAGACAATCCTTTTCCTGGAAATGGTTTCATCAACCACTTCTTAAGAGGAAAAATATCATCTCCAGTGAACACATATGGTAACAGGTAGCCATTAACCAAAGAAGCTGTGGGAATGGGGAAAACTCCATCCTCTACACCTTTACAAATGTCAGTTTGGGAAAAAATTGAAGAATCGTTGTCACGTCCATAGCTACCAATACTAACAAACAAAAAGCGATATTTGGCATCGCAAATTCCCATTAGTACTGTGCTGTGGAAATTCTTGTAGTTATAGAACATAGAACCTGCTTTTTTGGGACACTCAATGCAAACATGTTTGCCATCAACAGCTCCAATGCAATGAGGAAAATCCCACTCCTGCTGGAACTCTTTTGCCACTTGCTTAAAGTCTTCCTGTGTTTTGGAAACTTTAGGTATACATCAGTTAGGGCTCTCCAAATAGCAGTACACACTTCTTTAATAATTCCACATACTGTACTTCGGCCTATTCTGAAATTGAATGATTGAGACTGCTGAGAATCACCAGTGGCAAGAAATCGCAATGTGACCACAAGCCTTTCTTTGATGGAAATTGGCTCTCTGCTGCGACATCTTCTTGTTTTCATGTAAGGGCCAATTAAATTTAAGAGGTGTTCCAATCTTTCAGGAGACATTCGCATGAACCTACATATATTACCCAGTAATAATGCTGGTTAATGACATTGAGGTGAAATTGTATGGAATGTATTAAATTTTGATTTTAATATGAGTACAGATATTGTACAAAATAAAAATTTGCGCAAAATTAGAATTACCTAATTTTACACACCATACTATAATTTTAACTTTTAATTGTTATCGTAATTTGTATATCTTACATTTAAGTTGTACCTGAAATAATACTCTCGATCATGTAAATGTAACTCCGCCAGCAAGGAATGAAATTGACCGTGTGTTTTGCGCATTTTGAGCATTGGCCTTACCCAAAACCTTCTTTTCCTTTTCTTTTTATTCAATCTGGCTCATTTATCTTTAATGTATTTCGTAACTAGTGTCAAAAGAATCGCATAATTCGATAGTACCAACGCGATACTTTGAGAACGTTGTAACATTTTGTAAAGTGACTAAAAAATATTGGCGCAAAGTTTTGGCGCAAATTCAGGACTCGACTTGCTGGCCCAGGTGACGCAGAGCTATCGGCGGTGGAAAATTATTGCTGACGCACAATTTCCTTGCAGTGCGTCACAGGCTTACCCAAGGCATATGTGAACCAGGCTTAATCAGCTAAATATTCATCTTTACTAGGGTACCAATCGTGTAGCAGTCATGAGCAGCTTCATGTACACAAAACTATGTAAATATGGCGTCCATTCCATAACAAAATGGATTCAAAAGGTATAGATTCGTTTCTTTCAAAATAATGCTTTATACTGTATATTGCTCAATGCTGATTTCTGTGTGGGATCTTTCAGAACCCATTCTTTAAAGCAGACCTGTGCTTCATACCAATAAATTGGGACAATAATCACTGGAGTCTTGGGGTGAGTCGTTTTTTAAATGCGAGTATAATAGCAAAAAAACCAGGGTTTTTTATAATTTTGTAATGGAAAGTAGCAAACATAAAGACTTCATTTAAAAACAAGTGCGATAGAACCGCATAGAACCTGCCATAGAATACAATATACATACAGTATATATGTCTCTGTTTCAAAAATTTAGAAAACGAATACTTTATTTAGTCAGGTTCCTAAAAAAATAAATAAATTTAACTAAATAAATTTACGGTTTAGGCAATACTTTTAACTTCTAGACTGTTGTTCTAAATAAATCCTTATAGGTAGTGGACTTTACTTCATGTACCATATTTCTTTATGACCCTATGGCTATGGCAATGTTAAGAGAAGAGAGAAGCTTCCCCAAAAAAATTAGGTAGGCCTTCAATGGACAGATAAATTAGGTGTTAAATAAATTAGGTGTTAAAAAATGTTTTGACATGGATGTGTTACCTAACATTCGCTCAACTTATAGATTACTGATAGCACACCTTCAGGCAATATGCCCAGAAATTAGTCCACCAGATGTGAAATATTTTGATAACTCCACAAAATTTGAACCAAGACAACGTGATGGAAGTTCATGTGGGGTTTTTGTATGCATGGTAAGTGAAAAATACATTTGATATAAATCATTTAATATATTATAGTTATGTTTTCCCATTGTTTCAATTACTGTAATGTCTAGCGGCATATTTTGTCGTTAGGTAGCTGATTATATGGTCAATGGTTTGGATGTGAACTTTACACAGGTAATTATATCGAAGTACAATTTCTGGTAACTACATTATTTAAACCACAGAAAAAACCCTGCTGTATTTTAATATGTTTAAAGTTATGATAAATCATATTGCATTTTTTACCTAAAGGAAGACATACCATGTGTAAGGAAATACATGGCTGTTCGCCTAGCAAATCCTGAAAAAAACTCTTTCAGACGCACCACTCACTTCGCCTGGTTAAACAGTGTGTGGGAATGGAATTCATCATCAAAAGAATTCAAAGAGGAGAATTACAAAATGTATGAAATAAAAACTTGTTTTCAATGTGGCATGTCATTTAAAGAAATGTATGGCTTAATTGGAAATGGTAAATTTAAGCGAGTTCAGAAAATTTTACTCAACTCTTGAATATCCAGGATTCTGCAGTAAAGAGTGCATTAAAGAAAGCTAATTAATAAAGTTGGAAGTAATTACATAGGACTAAATATGCCATAAACCTTTAAGAAAACATCATGTTTCATAATATCTGTTGAACATAACACCAGACTGATATTTTCATAGATAGCTGTCACTGTTAGACACTGAGGTGTCTGTTACTCCAGAAAACGATGATGTAATTCATCAAGATTCATATCTCTATTTTAGTTTTTTTAATTAGAAAACAAAAGATTTGATGACTAGGAGTAATTTTAAAGCTCCCTCCCTACTAAACTGTCAAAAATTGAAAGGACGACATTAAGTGTCAGTTGGTATTTTTCGTTTTAAAATTGATTTTCTTTCATGCATAAAATCTATGAGAAGAGTTATTGACTTGTATTTAAATTAAAGAGGAACAATTTGGCAATTTAAAGTTGTTTTGGTCCTTGAAACTCTTAGAAATTGAAAAGGGATTGAAAGATAAAGTGAGAGTGGGATGTTTGGAGATTTTCATGGTTGTTGCTTCATTCTTTTAAGGGAACGTGCTTTTTGTTCTGTTAAAAGTAACTTTTGAAGGGTGTAACCTCATGTGTGAAACACTGACTATTTAGCTGTTAGACGTAACATGCCAATCAACTACGTATTAAATTGTGCGTATAATATGTATAGTTTAAACTGTCAAAATTGAAAGCAGAAATAACAGCTCATGTTGTATTGAAGTGCCTATACCATGGTTGCGGATTTTGAATATATCAAAAGTTTAAGGTATTTCAGAAAACTTTGCAATACATTTTCCTATTGAAAAACTTTGTCTTGATTGTAGCAGGGGACATGACGACTCTAAACAAGATCTTTCTCAAATTCTTAAAATGAATGTAAAGTCCGTATGTGAACATAGGGTTCGTTTACATTTTAAACTTCATACACTTTCTAGAAATACTTATATATTTAGCTTATATATTTAGCCATGAACTGCCACTATTTAGCCATGAACTGCCACTATTGACTGAACTGGTTATCTGAATAATATGATATGCAATTTGAGAGCTGAATCCCAGATTGATGCTGGAGCTAGTTGCTAATTAATATGAACATGGACTTTAAAATCATGGCGGGTAGATAGGTGTGTTCGCTTGTGGGATTTTTATCCCTGTTTTGTATATTTTTCTTTGCTTCTGGTTCGAAACAAATAATTGAGTACCTCAACACTACATGGAGAGTCGATATTTCTTCAAGCAATGTACTAGTGAAAAGTGCTGAGCCTATTTTATTTCAGCATATAACTGTTTATCGGAGGCATATAATTTCCACAAAGCCGAATTTGTCTTTCGCTATCGTTAAAAATACAAAGCGAGGAATAACTATTTTGGCTCTACCATCAAAATCATTTGAAATAGATTTAACAATCTACATGGATATTTCGCCAAATCCTGGTCCAGTCAACGAGCGTGATGTGATACACGAAGGACTTGTGCTGCGAATAAACAACAACGTCAACGGCGCCATTTGCAAATTGCCCGTTTGAATGTGAGATCTATCAAGAATAGAGAACATCATATTCTTGTAAAAGACCTCATTTTAAAGAATGAGTATGATATCTTAACTATTTCTGAATCGTGGCTGAATAGTACCGTACAAGATTTAGAGGTGGAAATTCCTGGCTATAATATTTATCGACACGACCAATTGGATAAACTCGGAGGGGGCGTTTGTGCATTCGCGAGAAATTATAAGGTTGAATGCCTGAGCGATTTATCAAGGATTTCCATTACTGGTATGCATCAACTTTGGCTCAAAATACAAGTAAGACATTGCAAATCTTTTATCGTCTGTACAGTATATAGACCACCAAATACAACTACAAATTGTTTTGACGAAGATCTTAGCGAGACACTTATTTCGGCACTATCTATTAACAAAGACATATACATTCTAGGCGATATGAATTGTAATTTGTTAAAGATCGACGATATTGGCTCTCAGGCTTTGTTGAATTTTTGTTCTACTTTTAACCTTGAGCAATTAATCAAGCAACCAACCAGGATAACAGAAACTTCGAAGTCTTTGCTCAATATTATTTTGGCTACCAATAATAGCCCAATAACAAAGGCAAAAGTCATACCCTGTTCAATAAGTGACCATGACCTGGTTTATGTAGAAATTCGTTTAAAGAAGGATCGTCCTAAGCCTGTATATGTTACAACGCGAAGTTTCAAAAATTATGATCAAGTTGCTTTTGAGGAAGATATGTCTATGGTCCCTTGGTCAGTCGTCGATGTTTTCGACGATGTTGACAATAAACTGAATGCTTTCCACTTGTTATTTAACCAAATTCTGGACCTACATGCCCCTATCAAAGACATAAAAATACAGAGTAGACCTAATCCTGTTGTTACTGATGAAATACGTTCATTAATGAAGGTGAGAGATAAATGGCGAAAGCTTGCTAGAAACTAGATTGATCCTTTGGTATGGGCTAACTACAGAAACTACAAAAAAAAAAGTTAAACATGAGTTAAGACTTGCTGAATGGGAATACGTGGAACAGCAAATAAAAAATAATCCAAATAACACAGGATGTATTTGGAAGACTATAAGAGCGTGTATTTCCAAGAGATCTGGTAGCAGCAACTCTCCTTTGTTCCTAGGCAATACCATAAAGAACACCAATTCTCATTTAGAGTTGTTAAATGTAAAGAAGTTGAAGACATAATTAATTCAATGCCAATAGGTAAAGCTGCCGGAATTGACAAAATAACTGTACATGTATTACAACATTGTCTGCCTTCAGTTGTTCCTGTTCTAACGTCTATTATAAATGGTTCATTCAAGACCGGAATCTTCCCCACCATCTGGAAAATAGCTGAGGTTAGGCCTATTTTAAAGCAAGGTGACCATAAAGTGCCTGACAATAATCGTCCTATATCACTTTTTTGACACAAATGATAGCAATATTATCTTTATTGAACGACGTTTCGATGCTAAAACGTGCATCATTTTCAAGTTATGATAATTACATTTAAATTGCGTTGGTTTTAAACGGTTCATCTCACGTTAGTATATATTGGGCGAGCATGCTTAAGATCATGCAGTTGATTAGATAAATTATATTAATTACATAAATTAGATCTAAATTTTGTCATTCTTAGTCTACTTAAATTATATATATACATACACACATATACGAACACACACAAAACATACATATATACAGAAACTAAACATTTCCAGATTAAGTATAAAGTTTAGAACAAATAGAGTCTGATTGAGTGTTCAAGGATGGTGATAGTTCCTTAATATGCAACATCTCGAAAAGAAGGCAGTCATACTTTCCTTGGCATTTCCGAAGAATTGAAAAGCAAATACATGTTTCCCGATTACCGACCGCTTGTGTTCGTCAATGCGTCGATGTAAGTGTCGACCAGTATAGCCAACATAATCTGCATCGTACAGATCACATTTATATCTATATACAACGCGCTGTTGATTTACAATTGGTGGTTTTACTTCACGGATTTTTAACTCATCCTGAAGCTTTCTACTCTTAAAAATGGGCTTTAATATTCTACCGATCATTGAACCAAGGCTTGCAAGTTGTCTTCGTACAAAATCAAATTGATCTTTAAACGGCAGGGCTACACAAATTATATCCTCTTTTACATGTTCTGTCTGAGTAGAACTGGT